CCTGCAGAGTTTAGATCCAACCTTGTCCAAACTCACCTGCCTGTAACTTTGTACCAATCCTAAAAGACCTTGATTAGCTTGTTCAGGTGTGTTTGATTGATTAGGGTTGAAGCTAAACTCTGCAGGAAAGTGGACCTCGAGGGCCAGAGTTGAAGACCCCTGCTCTACATGTGCCACCCACAGAAGCCTCAAATCACATGTGGTTTCAGTAGAGTTTGCCAATTAACAGCTTGCTAAACTAACTGCGCGAAACTGTAATAAGGATAAAATGCATAGCATGCAGAAATATTTGGTAAAATAGTAAATTATTAATTAGTATATTATACCCATTTTATTTTCCAATATATTTTTGTATTGTAAGTTAGAATTATGATTTTTTTTTTTTTAAAGCTCCATGTTTGCTGTGCTTGTTTGTTTATATCATTATGACTATGAAATAAATAATAATTAAAATAATAATTGCTAAATAAAAATATCGAACAAAATAAGAAATATTACAATTGCAGTATTTCACTGTAAAATAAACTGAGCATTTAAGAAAAAACATAATAATTTTGTTATAGTACAACTGTAAAATTACAATAGTAATATTGTTATTTTTATTTCTTAATTTTCCGATGTTAAACCACTGAGCTTTCATTTTCCTGGAAAACCACAAAGAGCCCTTATGGTGTGTGCACCAAAAGCGAAGCGAATATTAGCATTGCGTTAATCACTCTAGATTACTCGCGGGATGTTTTTCTCGTCACTCGCGTGGATAAAGATATCGCTTAATGAGGAGTGTCTTAACGCACATCAACACACAACAAGAAGTCAATTTGGACGTGTCAGTAAGCTCCTCTCTGATTGGCCGGCGTGACAGTGCGTAATTTCTCGAGTTTTGAATTTCCCACTCGAGTTGAAAGATGCGAACCAGGCAAATATCACGTGTTTGTGGCAATCACGTTGCCCAATTTGCATCTATTCGCATCTCTGCATTACTTTGTGTGTAATCTACTTGCACAAATGATTAAATTCGCTTTTGGTGTGCACACACCTTTAAATCTTCTCTTGTTGACAACAGCCAGTTTATAAGCGCTTCTTCTCATTATTTAAATTTGAGTCTTTGTGATTTGATAATTGCAATAAGCCATATTGCGATTTCACGGTTTTACTTCAGGCAAAAGAGTTTTCTTGCTTGGCCTGCTGTCTTGTATAATTATGATCCACTTTTGATAGATTGATGAAGACACCATTGTCTCGTCCACCGGCGCTTTGTCCCTCAAGAAGGTTCCAGAGGAGCTCATCGTGATTGGAGCTGGAGTCATTGGCGTAGAGTTGGTGAGTAGGCAATTGGTTGATTGTGGTGTTTCATTCCATAATCATCATAACACTGATCTAAAGTTTGGTCATGAAACTACTTGTTTGTAACATTTGAAGTCCAATGATGCTTCTGAATTGGGTTTGATAATGGAGATCCATTCTGTTTGTTTCCAGGGGTCCGTATGGCAGAGGCTTGGTGCCAAAGTCACAGCGGTGGAGTTCCTCGGCCACGTCGGCGGAATGGGCATCGACATGGAGATCTCCAAGAACTTCCAGCGAATTCTCCAGAAGCAGGGGTTGAAGTTCAAACTGAGCACCAAGGTCATGGGCGCCAGCAGGAGACCTGACGGCAAGATCGATGTGGCGTGAGTGCAGCGTTTATTCATCTGCTGTGTAGGAACTAATTCATCTAGTGCTTTTGCCCATTTTGTTGTTTCCGTTGGTTAGTGTGGAAGCTGCAGCTGGCGGCAAGAGCGAGACGCTCACCTGTGACGTTCTGCTGGTGTGCATTGGCCGCCGTCCCTTCGCCAGTAACCTCGGCCTTGAGGCTGTCGGTATAGAACTGGATAACCGCGGGAGAATCCCTGTCAATGGTCGTTTCCAGACCAAAGTGCCCAAGTATGGTGATTTGAAAGGAGTTTTCTTGTATACGTTGCGACCGACAAGTCCTAATATGCATTGCAAATCTCTTATAGTATCTATGCCATCGGAGATGTTGTAGCTGGACCTATGTTGGCCCATAAAGCAGAAGATGAAGGTATCATTTGTGTCGAGGGAATGGCAGGAGGAGCCGTCCATATCGACTACAACTGTGTGCCCTCCGTTATATACACACACCCTGAGGTCGCCTGGGTCGGCAAGACCGAGGAACAGCTCAAAGAGGAAGTGAGTAGACTCGTTTTTTGTTTTAGCACACCTTTCTATTTAAATTGCATGTGATGTCAAACATTTTCTTCTAATGTACATCAAATAATTGGCTATTTTCCAGGGCGTGCCGTATAAGGTAGGCAAATTCCCCTTCGCAGCCAACAGCAGAGCTAAGACGAATGCTGATACAGATGGACTGGTAAAGATCCTCAGCCACAAGGACACAGACAGGATGCTGGGAGCACACATTCTGGGATCGGTAATGATTTGTCTGATTTGCTTTTCCTCGATAGGAGGTCATTTTTAATTGCATGATAATTCATATAAAAATTTCATTTTACAGGGGGCAGGAGAGATGATTAATGAGGCTACATTAGCTATGGAATATGGAGCATCATGTGAGGATGTTGCAAGAGTGTGTCACGCCCATCCCGTAAGTGTCCTGAATATATTCCACTGATTTCATTCTACTTTTATTTTCTTCTTTTTCTCATAGATTCCTGTAATTAATAGACATTCTGAGGAATGAGCACATTAAACTTGACCAATGTGTTTTTTTAAATCGTAAAATATTTAAAGTAATTCAAATAAAATATCAACATTAATAATAATTAAATAATTACAACATTGTTTATATATATTTTTTTTTCAAATGTGTTAGCCAATTTTCCCTTTTTTTCCATAATAATATATACACGAATGTTTATACAAATATTTATTATTATTATTATATGTATTTAGAGACACATGCTAAAGCAATGCACAAAAATGATTATTATTATTAATTGTAACATTATTCTTTTTTCCATGTTAACCAAACTTTTTTCTTTTGCCCAATCACTAAGTGTCTCTGAATGTAGTCTACTTATTTTTTACTTTTTTTCTCAATTAAGTTCCTATTACTAATAGACATCATTCTGAATAATGAGCTCACTAATCTGGCCCCTTTTTTTACTTCGTTGTAATTTTAAAATATTTATTACTGTTAATTATATAATTTATTTATTTACTATAATAATAATTTCAGCATTATGTATGTATGTATGTATGTTTTTTACTTTAATGTTAATAAAGATTTCCTCTTTTCCCAGACTGTATCAGAGGCCTTCAGAGAAGCTAACCTTGCTGCTTCGTTTGGAAAAGCTATCAACTTCTAGATTTTCTTCATATACACTTGTATATAAATAAAGTATCTTCTGCATTTATTTTTTCCCTAACAGTCCACACAATCTGGAGTTCCTCAGTCTCTGGGCTTTCAGATGTACCCTTTATGCATTCATCCAGAATAACTCTGTAAAACACTTCATCTGTTATTTAAATGTCCTAATAAAGGAGTTTGGGTCTTATGTTAATCTTCGCCTGACTGAGAAGAACATGATTTGGATTTTATAAATCAGTGTTGTTCACTGTTGGGTTACATGCAACACATTTCATGCTGGTGGTCATAATAGTCTGAAAACCAAAGCAATCATTTTGACGGTTGGAAAAATGGACTTTGGCTGTACTGAAATACACAAGATGAATAAAGAGGAACATCATTATGCAGTGTTAATTCTTGCTTTCATAAGGAAGAAATGCTTTGCATACAGTTTAAGATGTATGAGGATTTGAAAACAATTTAATCCAGTTGGTGAGTTTTTGAAGGAATGGTCTGGGTTCAAAATATCTATCTAAAGAACAGAGATGGGCAGTATTTTAATTAAATGTATTTGAAATACGTATTTAATTACGTTAAATTCATTGTTGTTGTTTTTGCATCAGCCAGTGTCAGCAAATAATTACATATAGAAACGTATTATTAGGACAAGAGCATAGGATACGACAGGATTTGATGGAACACTATGCTAATTATAATATGAACATAATTGTGATAATCATTTAGCCTAGTATAAATGCATTAGTTCAACTGCAGTTCCTTCTTCAGCCACCAGAGGTCAATGTCTCCTGCACACACTGCTATTCACTCCCTCATTTCCATTATTGGAGTAACCAAATATGCTCTATCACATGTTGCATTACTTTGAATCTGACATCCAGATGGTGGCCAAAACTTGTCTTCTTCAACAGTTTATTCTTGTATAATTGTGAACCTAACAAATTTGTTAAAATGTTTTACATGAGTTGTGCTTGTGCAATATAATTCCTAAAAATAAATGTTATTGGGTTTGTCATTTTCACTACCTCATTTTAAATTTGTTTTAAGTTTCTAAATACATTCTGGGGACAATGAGTATGTGTCTACTTTAGAGACTTCATAATAAACTAAAGAAGAAGCAGTTAAAAAAGTGGTCACAAATGGCTTCAATCAGTTTGGATGAACTTAGCCTACTGAATCACGCCCGCTGAGACCTTTGTGTGTAACAAAGTAGAAGCTGTTGTGACCGAAAGCAGGAAGAATGGGAGGCTTTCGGATGTATAGCCTGCTGTACCTGTTATTCCTGAAAACTGGTCTTTTTGTTCCTTTTATGATCTAAAAAATAAACAGATGCAGATGTTAGAATATGAAGTTATCCTTAAAGGAATAGTTTACCTGAAAACGAAAATCTGCTGAAAATGTACACACCCTCAGGCCTTTAAAGATGCAGATGAGTTTAATTTTTCACAGGAACAGATTTGGAGAAATGTAGCATTGTATCACTTGCTCGCCAGTGGATCCTCTGCAGTGAATGGGTGCCGTCAGAATGAGAGTCTAAACAGCTGATAAAAACATCACAATAATCCACAAGTAATCCACACAACTCCAGTCCATCAGTTAACATCTTGTGAAGAGAATCAGCGCTGTTTACGTTCAGTCGAAAGCCCGCGCATGCTGAGCGTAAACAGCGCTGATTACGTTGATTACATTCTAGGGTACTTTCCAAAATGGCGGAAGACGGTAACTCAGGGAGAAGAATTGCTGAATAAATTGCTATTATTGTTTTCTTTGTGCACAAAAAGTATTCTCGTAGCTTCGT